ACATCCTGCTGAGAATCATTCCCAGCTCCAGATTTGCTCTCTACTGCACTTTAAGGATGTTTTTTCCCCACTCTCTCGTTAGCGCGTCTCCGTGGTCCCAGCACAACCTCTGAAGTTGAGCTTATCAAAGCCTCCTTCTGAATTTATCCATGCAAACTACAAGTCTCAACCTTGCTTCTGAACCAGCGTGGTCCTATCAGACTACGGCAAGGATCTTGATAGGCAGCTACCTGCCCAGCTTCACCTCCATCCTGAAATTCCCCCATTTTTTATATTACAGCCAGCACGTAGAAGAGGGAACAAGAAAAAGACCGTATGAACCACTGCTGCCGTTCGGTTAGCACCAGGCTTCCAAGGGAAATAGTGGCGGGGATAGTCTTCGAAAAGGCGTTTCGCTTGAAAAATTAACAGCCATGACTGTAAGGTCCTGTCTTAACGAGCATGCTTGCACAACTGGAGTCAAAGCTGGGGATTGTGTTTACGGCCGTGACACTGAATGCAGCCATTCCCACTTACACCGCCAGCAAACAACTGATCACGGCCCTGGAAAAGAGCCTTTGAGGTTCTCATCCGAGATGCCCGCTCGTCCAGAGGTTGGCTGGGAAGCCTCTGTAGCGTTAATTACTGGCACTTAGGCAGGTTGGTCTCCAGGGAGCATCATTCCCCAGCTGAAGTCAACTTGGGGAGGGCAAAGAAAGTCAAGTGGAGCTTTTTCTGCCTGGTTAACTGACACATGGGCCTGAATTTGTGATTTTCTACATGGAAATTAACTTTCCCCTAAAGTTCTACCAGCAAACTCCACTAGGAAGGTCTCTTCCCCAGTGTAGGGTCACAAAAACTGAAACAACTATACCAGCAGGAGACTTTTTGGTTCTAATAACAGAACCACAGGAGGATTCCTGCTAAAACAGGCACCTTGGTAAAGGGTGTGGGGGGTGGGGGTGGGGGAGAAAGGGGTGTGTCTTTGATTTATTTATATCCCTGATATGTTTTGCTGTATCAGCAGAAATTTATAGACAAGAACTCTTCATAAAGAACATTTTACAAATGGTACTTTTCCTTATCTCAACTTGCTGACATCGATTGTACCTAATGAGATTAACACCACAGGAGTACAAGCACATCTGTTCATGATGAACAAGGTGCACGGTTGTAGAAATTTTCTCTTTCCATACATTCATATAATCAAAATGAAAACCAAGACACAAAGCTAGAGACATGCCTATATGATATGCATTAAAGACTAATTTGTAGCAGCTTCTTTGGCACTCAAATATCAAGAATATCAGTTTTTAGCATTTGTTTGAAAAACTTGAGGATGTGATATGTCAAGATGTTATCCTTTTAGGGTGTTACTAAGGTTTAAGAAGAGGAAAAAAACCACACAAATGAAAGCCTTCTTTTCAATAAACCCAAGCAACTTAATATGCAATTTCACTTATAAAGATAAAATCCCTAACATAAAAGAAACACACAATACCACAAATGCAGCAAAAGCCCTTTTTTCAAATCCCACTTAATTTAACAGTAAGAACCCAATTGAGATTAAGATGAAATTGTTGAAAGGCCAAGGAGGTGACATAAACGCGGTACAGTCTCCGGGCTGGTGAATGCTGATAAAAAGATGAAGAGATGGATGCATTAACAGATGTCAGCATTTGTATTTTTATACTGCCATGCTGTGACCGAATTAACAATTGGGTAAAGCTGGGTGGATTTTTTTACCTCCTGACAAATCAGAGAAACATAACTAAGTGAAAAGCAATCATGTCTTCACCAGCTTCAGTGAGAGCTGTCTCTCCCGATCAGACCCCACCTGGAGTGCTGCGTCCAGCTGTGGAACCCACAACATTGGAAAGATATAGACCAGTTGGAGCGAGTCCAGAGGAGGCCACGGGGATGCTCCGAGGGCTGGAGCCCCTCTGCCATGGGGACAGGCTGGGAGAATTGGGCTTGTTCAGCCTGGAGAAGAGAAGGGTCTGGGGAGACCTTATAGCACCTTCCAGTGCCTGAAGGGGCTACAAGGAAGCTGGGGGGGACTTTTTCCAAGGGCCTGTAGTGACAGGACAAGGGGTAACAGGCTTAAACTGAAAGTGGGGAGATTTAGATTGGACATCAGGAAGAAATTCTTCCTGCAGAGGGTGGGAAGGCACTGGGACAGGTTGCCCAGAGAAGCTGTGGATGCCCCATCCCTGGAAGTGTCCAAGGCCAGGCGGGATGAGGCTTGGAGCAACCTGGTCTAGGGGAAGGTGTCCCTGCCCATGGCAGGGGGGGTGGAACCAGATGATCTTTAAAGTCACTTCCAACCCAAACCATTCTATGATTCCATGATCAAATTCCAAAACATATCTAGTTAACAGTCAAGATAAAATTGGCTATGATGCATGATTTCTTGTAAAACTTGTAGTAATACTTCACTTCAATGACCCAATGAACAGCTCTGAGCAACCTTCTAACATTATCTGATACCGAGTCACACCAAGCAGAAGAAAGACAAAAAAAAGTAAAGCATCAGATTCACAGAGGTACTGAAAATACACAAGTCCTAGTCCACTAGTATCCCTGAAATTCAGTCTCAAAATGCTTTTTGAAACTAAATAAACTTAGCAACTTTCTTTCATTTCTAATAAAATAGTTCAGAAAATTCTGATATGGCAGAGGGACATCAGTAAAGTTCATCATGAAAAGGGAGCAATTAAAAAGCAACCTCATGAGCACCGTGACCCAGCTACAACGAAACGGCATTGTTTTAGAAGCATTTACAAGTTACTCATCACCACAGACCCGAGAGTCGCATCCCCCCCAGCACCCGTATAGTGTAAGACAAAATTGTCCCTTGTGAGCTTTCAAGTCTTTCTTCTCTTGTTGGTATGTAGCATAAAAAAGGTCCCAGGAAGATTCTCTTGTTGGTATGTAGCATAAAACAGGTCCCAGGAAGAGTTTGAAGACAGAAGTTAGGAATTCCCTATATCTTATAAAAGAGCTCTTTATCCCTTTTACTACGTGGGGGAAAATACAGATGTGCAGCAACAAGAGAATTCTAAGGACCGGCAGCATCCTTTTGTCTATACCTTTGATGGTGCTCAGTATAGAAAAACAGTATGTTTCAGACTCCAGGACAACAGGAGTAGGTAAGAGAGGCGTTAGGGTGCATCTCGCCACATCAATCATCCACAGTGAATGAATACTGAATGCTTTTTCAGTTTGTCTGACAAACTGGAATGGCTTCAGTAACCCCCTTGCTCAAACGCGTGTAATGTCTCATTTTCTTTTACGTCATTCATTAAGTCTCCTGCGGATGCACAAAGACTTCTTCTCCTGGCTGTCCTCACAGATTTCTCAGCTTGCCAAGTGTCCAGGTGCCCCCTCATCCTCCCATCAACACCTTACTGACCTCACGGCAAAACCTGTAGTGAATACAGCCTGAGCCTGAGAATACAATATATTGCCTGTGAACTACTCCCTCCCTGCCATTTTCCCTTGCCTGAGGAGGACGTGCTCCACGGGAGTGCGTGTTACATGCCCTCAGAGACCAAAAGTCACCAAAGAGACCATACTCCCTCACCAGATTTAACCTGGGGTGCACCCACGTAGTCACGACATACAGGAGCTGCTGACATGTGACTCGTCTTCTCTTTAAAACCAAATGTCATTAATATTCCGACTGCACATTAAAAGAATGGTTGGCAAATGGTACTTTTCTAAAAATAGCTACATGGAGTGTCTAAAAACCCCTTCTGGGTGTTCCACACCTGCTCTCAGTTGCATCCTGTTTGCCCACCAGACCGAAATACAACTGCAAGTACGACAGAGTCACGCAAACAGGTAAAATCAAGGCGAGTTGCATTCGCTGCCTGTATTACATCATTAGATCATCTATAACAGTTTGGGATTAAAAAACTTAGCGACTCTGCTAGCAACCTTGTTTTCACATTCGGCAGATTAAGGTTACAGTACAGCCTACTGTCTTCCCAAAAACCACTGAATGAAACAACTTATGTCAAGTATTTGTAGCAGAACAAGCACTGCAAGAGTATCCTCACAGTTCATGTTCTATTTGTACTTTTAAAAGTTATCTTAGACAGTGCTCCCATCGCAGAGGATGATGCCACTCAACTCCAGGGAACTACCTGGGAGTCTGGGAGGGAAGCCTTGTCTGAGGGTCCTTCACATAGCATTACCCTGAGAAAGGTCCAGCAGCTACACCAACACAGGTCAGTTACGAGGCTGAAAACAGCCTTTTGGTTCAGAATTATCAATATTTCACAGGTCTCAGGGTCGAATCCGTAAGATGGCTAAGGGTAACGTCTTCAAACTCTTGTGAAGTCTTTTATGTCACACCAACACCTGATCCACTTTCTTAACAAACAAACAAAGGCATGTGAATAAATTTAAAGCACACAAAATAGATTAAAAAACAAACAGTTGGGAAACCAGGAACCGGGTGATACGGAATAAGGCGACAACATCTCCCACAGAAACACTTTTGCATATCTACCTGCTGAAACAGTCAGTGGCCTACACTGATTTCTCCATTGTGCAGAGCATTCTGCAATATAAAGCACCTTATAAAAATATCACACATTGAGAATCCAAGAGTCTGCAGAACTACAATGTAGGAAAAATAAGGGGGGAAAACAGGCAACAATAATTCCGTAGTCCTTGGTAGAGTGAAACTAGGCAATTACATTCGGAAAGGTACGTCTCGGAACAGCACTGTTCAATGCAGAGATCTCTGCATTTTTTTCCATTTCTAATACCTGAATTTTATGAACATGCATACCATGCTCAGCTGATTAAAGCAAGGCAAAAAGCCTTTCAAATCTGGCTTTTTTTTTTTCCCCTCCTACGTTTCACCTTCAGCTCAACTGATGGTGATTTTACAGTAGCTTCCCTCCAGCTTCACCTCTGCAGCAGCTTGATCTTTTCACCTTCTCCCATCACCTCCCAATAAACGTGCCTGTGTTTGTCCGTACGGTGCTCTAGGCACGGTATCTACGTCAAATGCTGCTGTAGTCCGAGCCACGGGCAACAAGAGCTGCTGCTGCTCCCCACTCCACTGTGAAGAAGGTAATTGTTCCAAAGAAGCCCACAACCACCATGATCAGGAGTTGCCACTGCAGGAGGAAGTAGTTGCTGTAGAAATATGCAACTGCAGCACAGATGGACTGAGGGGAAAACAAAAACACAAACATAATGTAAAATTATCATCGGTGGGGATGTCCAGGCTAGGATTCCTATATAAGGATTATCAAACTGACCTACAGAGTTTAATACGCAACTGTCAGTATGCTTCCATAGAAGACACATTTTATAACTTCATTATATCTCAACATACATCTTGACCTGATACACAACAGATTTCAGTTTCACTTGTTATTTAGTGTTCACTGTAGAAAACTAGCACCAAACACGAAGCGTTTGTAGCATCGCAAGTGCAGTTCCCCGGTGTGAAAGTCTGTCTTAAAGCCATGTCATTTCTAGAGAAACTCCAGAACACGATTTCCAGTTTTACACCATCACCAACTATTCTGTATCAAAACAGCTAGAGGCTTTGACAAGCAATCCTGCTTACTTGCAGGCTCTCTTGCTTGAGGATAACATTTTCATTAGAGCTCATATAGACTCTTTACATTCCATGTCTATCTCAAATTCTTACACATCGCTGAGAATGGTATAAAAATGGAGCTGTGCACATGGGAAAAAATATCTTTTTGAAGCAAGCAGTGGTCATCTTTTAAACTAAACACTCTGACCAGCACTAGCTTGCTATAGGTGCAACTATGCATGAACAGTTTTGATGCTTTGCACCCCTGTTTTCCTACCAATGCCTCTGATCAACACAGACCTGACAGTACCAAACAAGAAGAATGACTGAGTGATCTATCCAAAACACACCAGTTGTATTCATATGGGATGAAGACTTTCCCATCAAGCCTCCGTCTAGCACAGATGCATTTATTTTGGCATTCTGACACCTTAAGGACAGGTAAACAACACTGCTCTTCTTTTGTCTGCATATCCATCTGATAACTCCCAGTGATATGGTACAACATCCACAAACTCTTAGCTACTATTCACACAACGTGTTTCCTTCTTATCTCACCCTCCTCTGTCAAAGACAGAGGAAATCAATTCAGTAAATGATTATTTAAATAAAATCCAAGTCCAGATAACTGTACAGCGTTTTGACTTTACAGTTTCCAGCACTCCTCACTTCCCTCAAAACCTGTAAGCAATCATAGTTCAATTATATAACCGCACAAAGCTATACAATCAAGCCACTCCCACCTAAAAACGTTTCTCTCCCCTGTGAAAGATAACACACCAGGCTGAAATCCTTTGCACAAACATCATTTTTCTCAGCTCATCAAAAAACCAAGCCCAGTATTTCAGTAACATTCCATCAGTCACACTTTGAAAAGGCTGTGTCATGTAATACCTGAACAAACTTGAAGATGGCAAAGGCAGGAGCACTGTCTTCTGAGTACAGGAATCCTAAGACACTGAGGAGCTGGGTGTTAAAGCAGCTGTCTCCCAGGCCCAACAGAAAGCTGCAGAATATGGCCACCTCTTTGCTGAAGGAGAGAGTGAATCCAATTTAAAAGCCATTCGTTCAAACAGGTTATACATCCATAAACTATTTTGGGCAGACTTATTTGGAAACTGAGAATGGAAGAAAATTACGAAACTTTCACTTTTTGCTGGGAATGCTTGGCAAAAAGAATAGTTTCATCACATTTTAATATCTTGGATGCTCACACCCGTGTCATCGTTACCCGCAGTCGATTCTACACTGAATGAGAACCGCTAAGAGAACTCATTTTGGTGCTTGGAGTCACAAAGCCCGCAAGGCAGTGATCAAAAGCTGACACACAGTGAGTTCATCAAAACTGTAGGTGTATTAGAGAAATACCAAGCTCACATCACAGAAAAACACTCCAGTTAAAGATCAGTCACCTGCACAGGCACAAATGCTTCTAATGGCAGGTTAGCAGCCACGTCTGCACAGACTGACACCACTTTGTTTTCACACAAATTGGCAAAGATACACTCCAAAGAAGGTTGCAATGATGAGGTAAGAAAGCTCCCTCTAGTCTTCCCCTAACGCTGCGTGGTGTGAGACAGGCACGGCAAGGCTTCAGTTGGACCAAACAGATTGACAGTGAGCATTCAAAGATGCTGGAAACCAGTGCAGCAGTGCCAGGCTGGTGCTCCGTGCTGCAGTAAGCCCCAGCCCAGCACTGGTTTATCAAAAACTGAATTCCCGACACCTAGTTCGACAGTTGCTGGTCTCACTATTGTACCAGACGTCAGCAACGTCAGCTCTCGAGTGACAGAACTGCTACCAAACATCTTCATGCTGCTTCTTCTTATGCCACTTAAGTTCCTAAATTTGGTGCACACCGGTAGAATATCTACTTTGAATAAGAACAGAATTCCAGAAATCTTTTTCCTGTGGAGTGAGTCACTACACAGAAAACCAGCTTCAAGCAATTTTCTGTCGGAGAAACAAGCTGCTTATGTACATCCTGAGTTATAACAGCCAAAGGATAAAGGTTACACACCTTGGGACCATATAAGCAACATCATCTGTTCCTTCCATAGGAGCAATAGGGGCATCATTTGGCATGTTGAAAAAAATTAAATAAAAGGCTATGAAATGCACAACGATGCCTAGCAGCACAACAGGGTTCCTGCCAAAGCGATTTTTCTTGCTCAGTAAACCAAAGATTCCTCCACCTGTACGAGTGGGAAAGATTGGATAATTAAATTAGAACTCAAGGTATACAGAACAGAAGCAAACTTAAAATACTGAGATCATAAACTTCCCCATACTGGGAAACTGAAACATTGAGTAACATGGATACAGTCCCGAGGAGTCTGTCAGCTCTGCCCCATTTGCAAGATGACATAACCTTTGGGGTGCTAGAGGTGTCGGGGAGATGCAGGCAGGAGGTTTCTCAGATGACCGCCACTGAAGACAGGGAAACTGTTGCAAGGGTTTTCCCAACAGCCAGTTTCCTCCAGCATTGCAACAGTACTACGGGAAAGTGGATGGCCTCGTGCTTAACTCTTTGATTGCAAAATCATGCCTCTCCCTATGGATCCAAGCTGCTAGGGGACAAAGAGCGTTTGGGTTTGTTGTGCTTTTGGTTGGTTGGTTGTTTTTAACGCTGCAGTACTTGAGTTTAAGCAAGTAAATTCATCATGACTTAATGAACATTACCTGCATTCAATTTTATTCAAATATCAGATCTCATTTAACACAAGCTAACTTCTTTAAAGAGGGAAATCTTGCGTACAATGCTTTTAAAAATCAATTTAAATTCTTATCACTTAAGAAATAATAAAAATGTAAACAGAATACTATTTAAATAACAGAATATCAAAATGATGACAATTCCCTAATAACATGACAGCCTAGTGTTTCTCTCACTCTAAGCCTTGTTTATTTCTCTAAACTAACCCAAAATGAATACAAAATCTGGGGATTCAGTCAGCTGTATTTCACATCTTAGTCCATGTTCACTTTACATGGTATGAGATATAATTCACTGCAATAAGGAACCATGTTGACAATTGTATTGCTAATATTTCATTTACATAATCATTGCTGGAAGCTTGAAAGACACTATTCAGTTAAAAACAGAATAATGTCTCGAGCAACTACATCATCTTAACCCTTTTTGTCTGTAAGGCAGTAAATTTACACTTACCTAAAATTTCTCCAACACCAATAAAAATACCAGAGAGACCAATAAGGCTTTTCTCTTCACTGCCAAACCTATTCACAGCACCTATACATGTTCCATATACTCCAGAAAAGAACGTTAATTCCAAACCTTTGAAAGAAAACAAACAAAATTGATAGAAATTGAACTATTATGATTCTTTATGTCTAAAGGCTGTTTTTCCCTAAAGTACCTTCCCAATACGTGTATTTAGGTGTGTGTAATAGAGGCAACTAGGGAATTTTAAACTCTGTAATTACGATATTCTCCTCTGCCAGTTTACAAATACTGTATTAGAAAACACACTGTCACTAATTAGTGCCACATGCACCTGGGCTCCGTACTGCGTCTGTTCACACAACCTCTACAGAGAGTTTATATTTCTGCTTTGTATATTTAAAACAATGCAAATTGTTCTGCCTAAGCAAAGAAGAAAAAGTTCAAAACCAGAACTGTTGCTAATTTACCTCCTTTGACTTTTTCTGCTGGAAAAATATGGTACACCATGTCCTGGTCTACACGCAGCAGGCCACCTAACAGGGTATGAACACGTCGCCTCTGAGCAGTCATAGCAATCTGACCGCCAGTTTTGGAAATAAAAGCTTTGCCGTTTCCCGACATGAAGCAGCAACATTGACCAGGAGCCACCAGATGGCAGCAGCTAGTTTTTCCAAGCTAGACTCATCTTCTTTCTGCACCCCTAAACCCAACTTTCAGATTACTCAGGCAAAACCCGACTCACTCCCTCCCCTTGCTATCCTGCTTCACATTGCACTAAACGTCTAAGAGGAATTCAAGGAAATTAAGCCTCAATTTGGGTGACCCAGATCTGTACCAAACGAAGCGTTACTACATCTGTCAGTATTTGCAGGTGTAGGTGCGTGCCTCCTCCCATACCGCAGCACTTTACAGAACACAGAGATGTCATAAGTAACTCATTCAAAGGTAATTGTAATATCCAAGTAACGCTTGCAGGGATACGGAATTGGGATCTTGTTCTGGGATTAAAATCCCAAACAGTGCCCTGACACTGCTACACGATTATACACTCTGCTTGCTTCCTACCTGTGTAGGCTGTCGTAACACTGAGAAGCATCATCTCTTTGGTGAAGCTCAGCTTTATACATTTCTCTGTAAAGACATAATAATGAGAATTAATGTAACTTCTGATAACACTATTCAGAGCATCTACGCTTTCTTTCACTCTTGCTCGAAGCAAAACGAGGTTAAAATTATGCAGACTATGGCTTTAATAAAGAGATGCTAAACAAGCCAACCCTGACCTGCCCTTTAAAAGAAATTATGTCATCCAAAATCCTTTTTTCATAAAAAATGCAAGGGGGAAATATTAAAGAGGGGGCACATCGTTTTCAATTATGAGACAATTTCCTGCTCATTGTGTTTTTGTAGTCTCTCTCAGTTCATCGTGATTGCCTCCTAAAAGTGTAAGTAAATTCTCAGTGGAGGGTACCACATTCTCCAAACAAACTCAACAGCCACAGGCAAAGCACATCAAACTTCAGTGGAAACTGCAGATGCTGCAGGTCAAAACTGTTGGTTTTAAGTGGTTTAATTTGTGACAAAACAACAGGTAACTTCTTTACCTTGTTAAATTAGGGTTTTTTGGGGGGTGGTGCTGGGTTGTGGGTTTGTTTGGGGTTTTTTAGACTTTCATACACTAGCTTTCCCAGGCGGTGGGTGACCTGTTCTGGAGCTCACCTCCAGGAGGAAGGCATTGTGAAATAGCTTGGCTCTGAAACTACACCAAGGAAGTACCTCCGGACTACACTAGCAGGTAACTGAAGTCCACCTCACATTCTTTGCTTGCCGTCAAGCTCTGGTTACATGACACGGTGACCTGAAAGGAGCACTCTCGAAGTGCAGGCAGCCAGCTCACACCCATCGCACACCAACAGCGATCGACCACATTAGTTCAGGGGTTCCCAAGATTTTCCAACCCCATTTTGCCTAGGCTCAAAAATCACAAATATTCACACAAGCAACTGAATTCCTATCACGATCAACAATCATCAGGCCTGTGTGACCTGTCACCTCTGGTCTGAAAACCACTGCCATGGCAGTCATTTTTCCAAGCAGGCCATCCCTGAAGGTCTACATTCAAAGCGGAAAAACTGAATCTTCAAAGTAATTTGTAGGTGATCACGTTACCGGCAGAACCACCGCGGATGGGAAGGGTGTGTTGGAGCTTTTTGACACAACCCTTGCGTCAGAGGGTACTCACTGAAGGCAGCCACCGCTCTCGTCACTTTGTTTTGTGCAGACCTGAGTAAACAAACGACTTGGTCACAAAGGAAAAGGAATAACCCCGCTGTACTGCTGCGCTGGAAGGCAGCGTAGCTGTTCAACTGTTCTGTGCGTATTCTAGCCCAGTATTAGATACTGGAATATACTGACCTATTACTAAAAATTCTTAGAACCCAAACTACTAGCTACATAATTTATTTGCTTTCTGGGCTAGTAAATGCTGTTCAAAAACTGACATGATAACAGAGTCTTTCTTCTGAGCATTTTTAGCTTTGAACCTTTTCTCACTGGCAGACTTACTGATGTTTTTCTAGCATTTTTACTGTTCTTTAAAGAAAGCAAAAATATTTAAACTGATGCCTCAGGCAAAACTGAAAATCTGTCTGCATACCTATGCACTTTAATGTATTTATCAGGGTGGCATCTAAATATTTAAAGAAGATATGAAAATCCTGTTTCAGTATGTAAAAGATAACCTAGAAAACAATGGAGTAATTTCTGCTTGTTCCATCCTGATGAGGGCAAGACAGACTATGAAGGGAAGATGCATCTTTAATAATAACCAGTGGAGAAAAGAGGTGAGTGGTATCTTTCCAAAGGCACTTATGTATTAATGGGAGAACTTAATGTGCACTACTGCACTCCACCCTTGAGAATCTCTCACATAAAGAACATTAATTCTCACTTGTTAAGGTACAGACACTTTTCTATTAGATCGGTTCATTCCACAGGTTGCTCATAAGGTTCATGTTTCCACACAGAAGGGAAAGTGAACGCACGACGTTCCACTGAGGAGTAGGAGCACAAATGAGCGTATGTGACAACGTTATTGCCATAAAAGCACTTACGAGCTGTCCCCCAGGATTTCATTAGCAGAATCTTCCTCCCCTGGAGCTTTTGTGTCCTCTTGCTTCCTGATCAGAAAGAACAGAACCGTGCCCACAAGACTGATAACAGTCAGAGCAATGAAGACAGTTCTGCGATCACCCTCTGTGGAAAAACAAACAGGAGTCAACCAGATGTGCAAAAGCAATTCAAACCAATTCAACTGCCTTCAAAGAACTAGTACAGCCATACTAGATTAAAAGGCATACCAATTTTCTAACTTACCTTTCACGTGGAGCAAAAGGCACTGGCAGCTCCTGGCAAATTCCTGTCTCAGTTTTATGATGCCAATAAAATATTGGCATGTTAGAGTGTCACTTGCATTTTCTGCCATGCAAAGGCTGACCAAGGAGGAGCCAATTAACAAAGGAAATGCAAAACCAATTAACAGAATAAACTACATCTTTCAAGACTTCTGTAATTCAGAGTGGACAAACTACCACAAAACCCTTCAAACTTCTGTAACAGCTCTTTACCAGCATCAGAAATATTAGTGCTGTAAACTGGTAGGCTTGCAAAACACAAAGGCCTTAAAATCACTGAGACCTCAGGAACCGACAGCACACAGCGTGCAGGTGGAGGAAGGTAATTGCTGCCCTGTGCACCAGTTCTGCCGCACCAACCAACTTGTTTGGCACGGGAAATTCTGTATCATGGAAGCCACTCCCATTTACAAATATTAAGCATGTGAAAAAAGGCAAAAAAACCCAGCTATTAGTTATGACTGAACTAGTGTATGTTCCTGAAGATATTGTCTATGCTTGTATTTAACTCCCCTTTAAGTAAAGGTAAATGTGGAATTATTCTACATCAATTAAACATAACCTGTGCATGATCACGGATCAAAAGGAACATGTGCTTCCCCTTGAAACGCCTATAATGTTGTTATATAGGTAGTAAAAGGCAGGAGGAATTGATTTTTAAATGGTGTTTAATTTTTCAGTATTTTTTTAATAAAGAGGAGGCCCAAGACATCTAAAGATGGAGGAAAACGTAAGAGCAGGCATCCCTTACAGTTAATTGCTCTACTCTGTGGTTAGCAAGAGCAATGGAATTTAGAATGCTCTATTTCAGGCCCACCAGGTTCAAAGCATCTCTCAATAACATTAAAACCTTTGTGTTACAGGTGAGGGAATGTGGAAAACAACCTTTAGGAAGTAACCTGTGCTGCGCCACCAAGCCTGGGTCCATGGAGAACTCCAAAAGACAGACCTAACGTAAGCATGAAGCGGACTACTCGTCTCAACGGGGCAGTACTTCTGAAGCCTGATAATTATCATTTAAAAGTCAGCATCTTACTCCTGACTGATTAGATCAGCAGCATCCTCATCCTCCAAATGTTAAAAGAGTTGACCACTCCAGTAGATATTTTACTTTGAAACTACAACAAGGAAAATTTTGACAGTCATTACAAGACAATCAACCCTATTTGTTTACAAAATGTTGGTTTTGCAGCAATGCTCGCTTTTCATAATTAAAATCTTAGATTTCGCTCTATTTTCACCATTGCAGTTTTCTTAGTTGACACCCCAACCTACCTTACCTTGCTTACTTAAAGAGTTGCCAGAAATCTCTGCTTTAAAAACACCAAGTGTCAGCCAGTATCCCGCTTAAGAATATTCATAAGTCCACTGTTCTCTGCTCTTTACCGGTCTAGCATGATGTCAAATGAAAAAAACAAAACTATAGTATTAATTCCAATCCCATCAGGAAGTTAGTCTTCATAAACTATGCCAAGAAAGGAAGGCTGAGTTCTTCTCACACCCTGCCAGTTAAAGCAGCAGCCGCACATCTCCACCTGTCTCGCTGCGCCACATTCTGCCAGCACAATGCTTAGTGCAGCCATGAAGTGAACTGGGATGCTCTTCCTTTACTTCGTAGGGTAATCAGTCTCCAAACTGATTTAGGAGGACAGTCTACACCAGGAACTTGCTTTGGAACGGGATAGCATGTATATTAAACATACAGCCATTCCAGAATACCTTTCCTCAACATACGTGTATTTTTGTGTGTCTGCACAGGGAAAGATCCCGGAGTAGCTACTGTGGAAAACCTTATTCTAAACTACCATTCTGAAGAATTTCATAGACAATAATCCTAAAAGAAGGTACTCAAAGTGCACATCATGCAGGAAAACATACCCATCACAAGGGCCATGAGTCCCACAGAACACTGTATCAAAAACATGCTCCAAAAAATAGTCTAACAGTAAATTGGAAATAATTGCCTGCTATTGTGTAAGTTTCTTGCCACTTTCAGGTTCACTATTTCATCTGTTTGTTCACACTACCACCTTTGAAAGGAGGGCCTGCCATATAAACAAGCGATACTCACCTGATATGCGGGTTTTTCCTTGCCAAGTGAAGTATATATACAGGTTTCCAAAAAACAAGCTGTAAACAAAAAAAGACAACAAAGGTGAACAGCAGCTTCTGGGGTAAGATTTGGGTTGTAGCATCATGGTAATACTATTCTAGGCAAAAAAAGAGTACCGTGCAATTATGAAGAAATGAAGATACAAGCCACTCTCTATGCAAACTGCTTACGCTGTATGATACTTCAGCAGAGCAAAGGCTTCTTCTCCACTGTGCTGGCTAGTCATACTCAGCAACCAAGGCATGAGGTGGTAGCAAAAATGAGGAAATCTGCGTCTCAGTTGCCTGCCTCTCATTTTGGGAGAGAGATTAGAAACCTGATAGGTTTATGGAGATGACTGTAATACTTCCTTAGAGGAGTCTTGTGTCTTGTCTGAAGTACTGCCCCAGCAATGCTAACTTAGTTGTTAACAGCTCAAGGGAAACTGTTCCTACTCACAGTTTCCTGAAATACAGTAACTGTGAAAGAATAGCAATTCAAAACAGCCTCAGAGTCAACTCCCTCACTGAAACACACACAGTTAGTTGGATTTAGGGAAACTGCTGCACTGATAACACACTGGTATGTTAGTTCTTGAAGCTTAAGGAACACAAGACATATGTCACTGTTTCCAACGCACAGCAGCATCAGCAATGCCACCTAGCACAGGCTCACCAGCCTAAACACTTGCTGCAACTCATTCCCCTCGTTATCCCCCAATATCCAGACTTGTCACACTAGGGGTGGCAAAAGATATCTCTTCAGGAACCACTTGTGGACCTGTTACCAATGAACCCATCTGATCCCTTTTTGATCTTGCTGACACCATCCAACTCTACACCCTGCTGTGGCAGCGAGCTCCAACCGTTTAATTGCCCACCGCGTGAAGCAACACCTTCCCTGTTTCAAACCTCCTCTAGTCTCACCAAGTGACCCGAGTTCTAGTACAGCAGCATTCGGGGAGCAACAGTTCGACATTCAGCTCAGCTGCTGCCTTCGTGTTTAGTAACCCATCCGTTTAAACCTCCTCAGATGCTTTTTCTCCAAAGGAAAGAGTCCCAGCCTTTTTAGTCTCCCTTCAAGCCAACAGCTCCAGCTTCTTGCACATTTTGGTTCTTTTTTCCCTATACCCTAATTACATTACACTCTCCCAAGAGACATAAATCCTTTGTTGGTTTTTTTGGTTGATGCAGCATGGAAAGCTTAACGACAGAAAAATATCAATAACAAGATCTCTTTTCTGACTACCATGTCCAACTTGAGTACCTTCAACTTGTCAGTGAGCAGCAAGGCCCAGCTGCTCCCTCAGGAAAGGGGGGGCTACGAGCCAAGCGGGTTAACACATCCAGCAGAGAAGGCACCTCATCAGCTAGAGCCCAGGCCTGCAGAACTTGAGCAAGGCAGGCAGGGCAGACCCAAGGGCTGTAGGCAGAGCAAAGCAAGAGTCCAGACCATTGTACAAGTTTGCACTGACAAGGCAGGTCAATCAATCAAGGAAGTCAGTCCACAGGCCAGAGTCAGGTCAGGGGTTGCCACACAGCTGCACAGTGACAAAGCAGAGCAAAGCCAAGATGGGAAGTCAGTCTAGACCACCAAGAGACAGGCATAGCCATGACTGAGCTGGAGGCCAGCCTTCCTCCAAGACAGCTCCAAGGGAACTAAAGGCCCAGGGCTGAGTTTAAATGGGGCTCCTGGGGCTATGGGCAAATGGGAAGGGTGTGGTGGAGGTGCCAGGTGAGGTTGTCCTAATAAGCCATTAGGGCTTATTAGTGAACTCAGGATCCTGACATAAATGAGCACAGCCCAGCACAATCAACGAGATTTCTGTTACACATGCTAAATGCTCCCTTAACAGAAATACATCTTTTTAGCCTGTGGGGAGCAGAGGCTTGCAATAGGTAACTTTCGTTCATTGTCCTAAAATGCACAATAGCAATAGAAATGTTGCTCCTAGCCTGCCCTCCCTCCCATTTCTCTGACCACAAGATACCCGTGGAATATTTTTGATGCAGTTTCCCAATTATCAGAAAAAAAAAAAGTAGAATGTGTACACAACCAAAACCAAAGGTTAAAAATAAAGCTTACCTGGACTGTAAGAGGGCCCAAAATACCCCGCTGTTCCTTCCAATGGTGTTTTCATCAGAATTTACAGTCAAGCAATTTCCCTGTGCCGTCCAGAGTACTGAAAGATGCAGAATATATTGCTCAGAAAATGAAAGTATTTTAGAGGCACGTTCAAACGTACCAAGGCATAGTAAGCAGGGGAAGAACAACACTTACCAGCAGCTGCAATGCCAATAAAAACAGATGCAGTGTAGAAAGCCCATGTAGCAGGTTGGATAAAAACTGCAATGTATATGCTAGAATAGAGCAGATCAGTTTACTGAATATACAAGTGGACAAAGCTCTTCAACAACCAGGCATCTCACTTAGCTGCTTCTAAATCAGCTACTGTCTCCTAAGTGACACTGGAAAATGGTTTAGTTCACACGTGAAAGAAAGGTCATGTTTTTACTTCACTAAGCAGGTAGAAATTTTTTTAGATCTAGTCATTAATCTGAGCCCACAACCTGAACTCCACAGTCAGCGAAGTCGGGAAATGCTGTGGAAAAATTACACTTTGTTTCCTTTAGGCTGAAGCACTGCTCATCTACTGATACAGACAGTATCCCTGCAAGATGCCTGCGTTAGCCAGTACAATTACATGTACGGCAAGGCTGCCATAGGTGTGGGAAAAAATAAAAAAGAAAGATTTTAAAGGAAGCAGAAGAAAAATCAAAATTAAAACTTACCTATAAAATACGCCACTAACAACCATAGAGAGTTGAGGTCCTACTATTGCAACCACTGAAGGTGATATAAGATTTGATGCAGAGAATACTCCATAAATAATGGACATGCTACATAAATAAACAACAAAGATCATTAAGTACTTAAAATACAGGGTACAAGCGCAACTGATTTAGAAGGGTTTAGCGGGTTCCAACATATGAAGTTAAGGACGTACATAAGTAACTGCATAACTTTCATAGTCAAACATTTCCTGCCTTTCTTCTGCTACCTTCAGCCACTGCACTCCATGTGGGAACGCAAGAGTGTACAGTGCTTCCTGGATCGCTGAGGAGTCCCAGGCTGCTGCAGGCAAGCACGTTTGGTAATTTACAGCAACACATTTGTCACACTGTGCCTTAACAATAGTTACTGTATTCTGTGCCCAGTACCTCCACAGGAGAATGTTCCAGAGCCTCATCCATCAGTGAGGTTTTCATTTGCTACCAAATGCACCACAGAAATTTTATAGATATATTCTGTGCCAGGGCATTTTTAGTTTAAATTAAGACAGCAAACCCCTCAAAGCAGCGACCAGATTTGCCGGTATGCTTAACTTGGTGTACAAAGGGTCGCCACCCCTGCTTGGAGAGTTCGGCTATGCCAGTGCAATAATCAAACCGAAAGGCTTTTCATGGCTTTGCTTCCCATCTTTCCGACTGCTCCTTTCACAGTTACATTGCACTACTTCCCGGAAGTTGATCCACACCACCGATCCTACTCAAACACACAGAGCCGTACAAGGGCAAACAACCAAGGCCTTAGTAAACAGTTTTGTTTACTTTACAACTCCCACATTCTTTATCTCCTAAAATAAAACGCTGAGAATGTGATGACTGCATGGTGGTTTGTCTCCCTACAAAAAAAAACCCACCCCATGCAAACAGGTATGTAGTTCAACCGGAAACAACCCAGAGTGGATGTGACAAACCCATGTTTTAAACTGCTCTAAGTACGTTATTCAGCAGAACACTACAATCTCTTGAGAGCGTATCTCGACCAGATGGAACTGTAGCTGGCTTCGCCCTGCAAGGAGCACACTAATAACACCATCTCTGTAAATTACCTTGTGTAGCCGCTGCCATGAAAATCCGTGTTGTTTAAATTTGTGATAACGGTTTGCTGCGAAGAGAAAATCGTACGTGATGCGTCAGAACCCATCGTGTAGTTTGAGAACCCTTGCATCAGTCTGAAGTCAGTATTAAACGTCAGAATTAAACATTAACAGACTATACAAACTACTCAAAGTTTTAATTACAACTCGCAACACCCCCAGAATGAAGGTGAAGCAGATATTTAGCGGTGAAGCATCTACGCCTGAAGCAATAACTACTACTTTAGGATCGTATCATGCTTTCATCAGAAACTTTAAAATATTGCACAAATCACCTCTCTCAGGCAGATGTGCATGACTGTCTTAATTTAAAAAGTGGGGGGAAAAGGAGAAGTTTCAAAATACTCTTAATTTGACCTAACTGTGACCTTCCAGTAAGAGTTTCCGTTCTTTTTTATTTCCTGTTGTATCCCTGTTCCTTTTTTTCCCCTTGAATCAGCTTGAGTGATCATGAGACCATGTATTATCAGCAGGCTGATTGAAAGTCACTTGTAATGACTTTAATGACAACAAATTGCATGATCACCGGGCGAGGCGCTGTGAATTCGCTGCAGAACTTCTAAGACCACTGGGCTGTACTTAACGTGCTCATGCACGGTATGGCGCCGCACTGTGATTTTTACGAAGCTGTACTGAGTGGGTATTTCTGCAGCGCAGTGAAGGACATGCCTGTGTCTGAAGCCGGCAGGGATCCTTCTTGCATGCAAGAAAAGAGCAGCTGTAAGATTCTTAAGCGGGCTCAAGAGTTACGCTGAAATGTAACTGTCCTCCAGGCACACTGAAAGCAGTACCAACAGCTCGGTAAGTTAGAGGATCTGGGCTAAGTAGCAGGATTCTGAAAATCCAGGTAGTGAGAGTACAATCTGCCTTTAATAGTAAATTTGGATTATGTTATGCCCAATTTTGCTCCAGCACACAGAGATAGACGGTACTAAAGAGGTAAATTACTTATTCAGATGGAAGGTGACTTGGCAGCTCTAGCAATTGTGGAAGTCTGACGAGTCGTCAGATGTTATCCTCGCACTCCCCCTCCACGTCTAGTTTGTTAGAACAGAAAAATGTGCTAGATTAGGAAAAACACTCTAGCAGCGTGGTTAATAATAATAACTCAGGCAAGTATTTTGAATGGGACTATACAGAATAGTCAGAAATGTGGGCAGTGCATGGAATTTTTAAATGCTGCAAGTGGCAGAACAGACACTATGTTAAAGTTCAAATATTTGAGAGGATTCATTCATTTTCTACTTTCTAAGCAATCAGGCACACTTACATATGTAGCTATACTCCCTTAAAGAAACAAACTGCTTAATTACCCAGCTAATCAACCTTATCTAGTTAACACTAAAAGGAAGAAGACAGAATGTCGTGGTGTCTTGCCCATTAAAACATGCCGGGCAGATATGTTAGAACACAGGGAAGACAAGGAAGGATGAAAAATGGGAACAGAAACGTGGCAAGTTTGGGAATTCATGCCTACCGCAATATTTCCACACGTCTGGAAAGCAGTGAATATAAACATAAATGACACTCCCAAAATAATTATGTTGAAAAGTTTTTTCGATTCAGGAGACATTTTGCCTGTTCTTGACAATTCCTCAGCTTAAGTCTGAAAAAACGTTTTCTTTTAAAAGCGTCCTCTTAGCCTCTGTTGAAAACAAACAAGCAGAACAAAACAAAACAGCTTTAAAAAATGACGATGACTTAAGAGTTACCCATTAGCAGCTAGGACATAAGCACCTCACCACAAAATCTGATGACTCAAGTAACGCACAGCAAAATCAGTACCTCAGAAAAAAATAACCTAAAGATAAAAGCCTGGTACAAAAGGTAAAGATCAAAATTCTCTCTACCTTTTCCCATGAATCTAAGAGAGCAGACTGCGGTATGTTACTTCCTGACAGCTCTTTCCCCCCCAGATGAAGCCGTTCTCCAGACGCCGAGGTAGTTAATCAGCTCAGTGTCCTGCCATTGCTCTAAATCACAATTCTGGTCCAAAGTCTTTAAATCAGCTGACAAAAGAAAGAGGAGAAATTCGTACACACGAGTCATTTCCACGCATGCTGGACAGGAAATAAGGAACATTTCACAATACAGATCAGCTGACCCAGCCTACCAAGCCCTTGTGCACTATGGGAAATGCAGTTTTAGGAAAGTACACTTTTTCTACTTGAAAGGCTGGAAATCTCCCGATACTTAAAATGATTTGTAGTAGTTTTTAAGAAATCCAAAGTCCATCCACTAAGTAACAGCCAGCAAGATAAAAAGTCTTAGAAAGCTGCCAATCAAAACCGTCTAATTAGCTGAATTCAAACACACAGAGTCATTCCAGAGGGAAAATAATTCCCACATGGGAGAAACAAAGTGCCTCAGTGCCACCAGCATACAGGTTCTGCACAACGCTTCTGCCTTCCGTTGTCTCAGTGACTCAGGAAAGTCCTCATAATCTTTCACTGCTTTGTCTCAAGGAATAACATTTGGGTTTAGTAATTACATACCCTTAATATTTTACTTCACAGTTTATTCTAAATAATAAATATAAGAGCAATTGATCTTCAAGCTTTGAAGATCAGCATCAGCAAAACTGAAATAGGATCGCACACCACCCATCAACTGAACCGGGTTTTTTTACTGCTATCCTGTGTTTATCCCGTTGGGCCCCAAAACGGGATTGGAGCATCCAGCAAGATCAGCTCCACTTAACTGATGGCCAAAGAGGGAGGGAAGGAAATGGAGAACTGATTGAAGTAAATCGTCAAATCCTACCTCTGCTATCTACAGTAAAGGTCTTAAATAAAATCTATATCCTGGCTGTTGTTATATGTTTAAGTGTTTTTAACTCCTGAGCTGTATTTTCTAAAAACATAGATTTATTTATTTGGTTTTTACTTGTGGAAGAAGGTCAGGATGACTATTCAGAGGCTGTTTTACAAAGATCCAATTAAAATATCAAGGGAAGGGGGAAGGAGTTTAAAACAAGCCAAGTTTTCTCCTTCCTTGTCTAGGATTTATAGCAACAGGTTTTTAAGACCCCCCAGTCACTGTGTCCCACTCGGACCTCCTTCCCCTCGCGTCAGCATCCATCTACCTGCACAGGAAACTGGGCTGGCATGCCAGAGCAATTCTTCAGGCAGCAGCTTGTATTGAAGAGTGAATATTTGAAGCGAAACTAGTGAGCAAGTGACACGGGAAACTCTTGTCATTTTAGGGAAACCATTGTAAAGACAAACTTTGAATTTCTCCTGCGATAAAGTGTTTCAGCCGATGAATCGGGGAAAGTTTTCATGAAAAACCTCTGGGAAAGAATGAAGCAATACACAATGTGCAGTACTGATTTATTTCTGAAGTCTATTGTAGCAGGAAAGCACTGTCACTGCTAGGTCTGTACTGACGTCATTCCTTCTGCTTATATGACTGTAGAAAGTATGAAACATAACTGAAGTAAGAATTAAGAATTTTAATTATATTACACTTGTTTTTTCATCTCAACAGCCACTGCATGGAACAAATCGGTAGAAAAGTGCTCTTCCTCGTTTCTATTCCTAACAGTGTTACAGACCGATGGGTAGAAACTTTTACCGCTGTAAGGTAAAAGTATTACAGTTCGTACGTGGAGTTGAGGCGTTTTACTCGGTGCCTGAAGTGACACAGCAACAACTTTTGGCACGGGGGAGCAGCCTTGACCGAACTCTCCACAGGCAGATCCCAGGGAATCCGCTTGTCATTCTCACGCAAGGGCTGTGCTCATCCTCACCCCCGTCTGGTTTTTCCACGCGTGCTGCCAGAGCACGAACCCACAGCGAGCAGGACGTGTTAGCGAGGGATTCCTAACCCTCTCTCAGGGTCACCGACGCAGCGGGTAGAGCCCCTTGAGGACAGCGTGAGGGCAAAGGGCTGCCCGCACGGCTCTGCCGCCTCACAACGCGCCTCCGGAGCTGCGGGGGCTGAGGGAGCTTCGCCGGGCGCCGCTATCAGCAGGACAGGACGGAGAGCCCATGCTGGCCGGCCTGC